CACAGATCGCTTAAGTAATATGTTTCTTACGTTGCATACCACCGTAATGAGGAGTAGCGATCGTACGATGCTACTCACACCACCGCTAATCAGTAGTGGAGCCAGAGCACTGAAGTAGCCGCAGGAAAGATACAGGAACAAACATCGGAGTGCAGCATCGTACGAAATAGTTCTTGATACATAATGGAACATAAATGAACTAAGCATTAGCGTCCGGGGCAACCGTGACCGTCTGGGCCAAGTGCCGTGTGCAGATAAGTTGTTGTCTTGTTGGGCCGCATAACACACTTGTTGCTTTCCTGAATAAATGACCCTTGCGTCATCCGCATTCTTGGCTCATAAAATTAGTTCATTTGAAACCGCAGTAAAGTTTACGTGAGAAAAACGGAGTACCAACTGTCTCAGTGAGTAGTAGAACATGCCCCGAGATGGGCGAAGCAGTGGATGACGAAACACTATTTAGCCAGTCAATATACTACTCATAATCCGACATCGTCGATTGCTATATGTTTTATAACAATGGGTAAAGAAGTCGATCCACTTAAGCTACATAAAATATCGTTAAACCATCGGACTATAAGCCTAGCTGTACAGATCCGAAATCATCAATCGTGGTTGTGTGCACATTAGCGGTTGAAGAAACCCACTGGTTTATCGTGATCTTTGGTGCATAATTCTTGGTGTGAGTACGTATCTATCTACTCATTGTCTGCTTGTAGTTGTTTGGTATATGTAAGGTAAGTGAGCAATCTATCAGATCGAAAGAATGGTCAATGTATCGCGCAATGTTTTTTATTCTTCTATGATGAAATGATTAAAGGGAACTCAGTGTATCCATTCGAATTACTTTTCTGTTGAAAACACCATTGTACACCAAGCTACAAACGTTTCGAGTTAGGTCAGCTACCTATTACGAATCGTCCGGCTTCAAAACCGCTTAACAAGTCTCGTTAATTTGCAGAAGCGCGATGGGTAGCCAATGTTACATCACATGTATATGTGGTCAGACGATGGACTTGCACACCAGTAATTCTCTCAGTCTAAAAATAACACTGTACACATCTGTACAGTCATACTTAAAAACAGATTGTCCAAATCAACAAAAACTTTAACCGTACGTTTGACTTACTATCAGTTTACTGACTTTCCTGATTTCAACTTGAGGAAAATTGCCAACCGTGGGATTATAGGTTGGGGTTTGGGGCAGTCTGATCATTACTCACAAATTAGTGTAGTTGTTTGTGATAGTTCAGTTACGTCTACTATGATAGCAACAGAGATCATAGAACCTATAGGAAATGTCAGAGGAAATTGAGAATGTTCCAGTAGAAGTGAATCTGCGTTAGATGGGCTAGAGAGGAGAAACAAGCCAGAGGTTGGTTTCAGTTCTACGGGGTCAGCAATAGAACGATTTTGACAGAGGAGATCAGAGGTTAGTAAACGGAACAGAAGACCAGTGGTTGAATACCAAGCATACAACAATGACACTGCAACAAACAGCAAACAACAACTTGCTCATATCAACAGGTAGAGGGCGAGAATACATTTATTCCGAAAAATAAACGATTCTGATCATCAAATTTACTGAGATTTGGGGTGGTGTTCGGATTATATGCATCAAGTCTCTATTTGAATATAAATACTGATGGTGCAGTTGTGGCAGCTTTTGATACGCGATTCCACACTGGACAAACTAGGAGTGTTCCCACGAAAATAAGCGGTTCATTAAACGTAGCCTCGCTGAATTATCTCTGAAATAGTTGTTTTCGCTGAGCATACAAATTTCTTTTAAGGACAGATGGAAGACTTCATATGCCCAAATTAATTGTGGCCATAACAAAGAATATCCGCTACTGAAGGGCTGTAACAAGGACGAAGCTTCAGTATGCTGCCTAATTTAGGCAAAGGACAGACTAACGCATGCAAACGAATATGAAAACAGTGAGCTCTTGTGAATTAATGTCACTTCAGTTATTGATGATCTCACTCAAGTCAGATCAAACGCTGGCTTACATTACTGTCAACAATGTCATGCTACGCGTAACTTGGTACAAACACGTGGTTTATGTCCACTGCGTGGTTGATTTACCACCAACACAATCACGGTCATATTCGATAACAACAAAACCACTTGTTTCGTTTACAACAACACTCAAATGGTATGCACCTTCAAAAAAATCACGAAAGCGTCACAACTGAAATCCAGTTATAGTCCTTGAATTTCGGAAAAATTGAACCTTGAACTCAGTCATTTTAATGAAACAGTTTGGTAAGATAGTCAAAGGACACGTTCACAGTTTGGCTTTGGACTTTTCTGAAATTTACATCGTGTTCTTTTTCAAAGCTCATTTAAACGTGTGAACTAACAGTTGCCTTTTAACTCATATCGGTTCAAATACTCTGCCATTCAATGTGATAAGAACACACACTTGCTGCAAGTGTGTACCAGTTCAGTTGTTATCGAATGGATACAACCATTGACAAACTAGATCGGCACACATTACTGGACCACTGAAAATAATAGAAATTGTCATTTTTTATTTTACATTTATTTGGTACTGGGATCACTCTTTCGTCTCCTAACGAGCAGTCGTTTTTAGTCACAACTGCGACTGGAAACAATTATGAATGTCATCTAATTCGACGTCTTGTTAAATTTTCCAAATATTGATACATTTAAACAAAAGTCTAAATGTACCAATCCATCACTAAGAGAAAGCACATCAACAGACAAGAAATTATAGGTGAAAAGATGCAGTCAGCTATACAAACCAAACGAACAGAAGTGGATAGAATCGAAAACAAAGACTAACCAACAATGTGGCGGTGCTGTGGGCGAACCTTCCAGTTAGGAAACAGCGCTCACATGATCGACGACATGCACCTGCAAACTGGATGGCCGTTTTGTCATGCAGCTTTCGGGTCTTTGTGAAATAATGCCTCACTGATGTAATATGCCCTTTTGGCAACTGAACAGTCCAAACGAACGCGGAAAGAACGAGTCATCGGGTTAGACGTGGTCCTTCGCTTAGCATTAATTCTATTCTTTTATTCTAATCCAAGCTATTCAGGATGACAATAGCTTTATGTTTATCTGTCATGGTATTAACGACAATTTATTTAAAATCTGATCACAAAGTCTAAAGTTGTGAGTTCTCATCCAGTGCAAGATAACTTGTCTTTTCCTGGTGATATTTGAGAATATCGTCCATTTGCGAACATAAATCCCCTGTATTCTTTATTTTACCACCTCGACACTTGAAATAACCGCTTCTACATTTTAAGCGTAACCTACATGTAGTATAATTCAAAACGTTTTCCGGAAAACTTTGTTACATCTTGGACAGTATCTTATGAATTAATTTGCGTACGCAACAAATAAACCGGCATCAGTTTCCGATTGCATTAATTATGTCACTTTTTAGGGAACAGTTGACGAAAATCAGACCAGGCTACCCAATTTCCTACAAGTCGTTCTGACACCTCTCATGATAAATATTGCAACTACAAGCTGACAGTATATTAAAAGTCACAGAGAAATTTCAAAGTTCTGAAGCCTTCAAGAGAAACAGCAATGCGGCAAGTATCACATTTTCCATTTCCAAGATTAACCGAATGAAGGTGAGAAACTAGTGGAAGGAACGACCGAAATTTACGGTTATTAGTTGAACCAGACTGGTACAAAACGGAATTGTTCTAAAGAGGTAATGGAGGGAAGCAAAACCCAGTGAGAGGAAAAATCAAGTGGCTTTTCAATCTAACTACGGTCAGACAGTTCGAACTGGCACACCTGGACTACATTTTCGTGTGTGAAACGTGGTGATTTGGATGACTGAAAATGTATTTGTCTTCTCCTGTTAAAGTCTAAGCCGGTTGTTTGCGAGGTACTTACAAACTGTAGAATAGAACGAAGGTAGACACAAAATTTCTGTAGACAGCTCTATCCTGCAGTCCATCTTCAACTTTACCAGCAAGAAGTGACCTGGTGACAGAAATTAGCAGCCACCAACACGACGAACGTGTCATACTTTTCAGCGCCATATCAAATCGAGCTGGGCGGTGAACGAGAAGGCGATGTTGTTTCTGTGCTACGGACGTATGCGTACCGGCCTTGCCAACAGATGGCCGACCTTCTAACTAGATGGTCTTTTGCATGGGTGTATCTGTGTCGTCCTCTCACATTCGTGCTCATGGCTGTACCACAACATTCATATTGGTTGGCCCTGCTGTCTCCTGACTCTGATTCACTCGCGTACCTTTGTGTTGACAAATAACGTGTTTGCAGGACGAAAACGTCTACTACCTGGTGATTACGTTTTGGAATAAAACAACATTCAGGTAAGTGTAGAAAACAGTGGCCTGTAATAGGAGGTTGGAGCGCTAGACAGTCCATTAGATGTGTTCGTTTCATTTGGCACTGATCGTGTCTCTGAGTATTCGCTCTATCGAGCCTGCGTTGGATAGCGGTGTCGCAGAAGATAGCGGTTTTATGCATTATTTACGTATTCGGAAGTGAATCTTGTAAATATTCAATTCCCTTACCAGTGTATAAGCTTTGACAATTGTATATTAGTTACAACTAAGCCAAACTGGTTTTCTCGGAAGCTATTGGAATGTGTTGACTGAGAAGTTCCAGACAGTTTCTAAGCCATTGACGTTAGACAGAAATGCTGCACAAAACTCATATGAAATGGGTTGAACAGTATATCAGTTTCTCACGTAAACATTTTCATCAGAAAAGGACAGTTGTCGAACAGCAGCAACGAAACTAGCATGAAAGAAGCTACACATATTTTGCTTGTTAATAACGTTTGTATATACGTACGCAATACGACAACGTTTTGACGACTCAAACATGAAAAGTCAAAGTATCCAAGACATATTTCACTTTCGGGTAAGTTCCGTACTAGGACAAGGCTGAATTGGGTCGCAAGATGCGGTAGACTGATTGCAAAGGAAGGTAGGTCATTTCTCAGATGAGACACAATTGTGTAAAGTCAGGGCTTCGGCTGGATTCGAACCAGCGACAGAAACACCATACTCAGGCGCGGAAACCGCTCTACCAGTTGAGCTACGAAGCCACGCCAGCGTGAACTGTTCGAAAAATCCTGCCGGGGCAGTCGATCCCCCAGATCATTTGGTGGATTCCATATGAGACAGTGGGACGGGTGGGTAACCGAGTCCAAATGTAAAAATCCCGAGCTCATGGCGTGGCTTTGTAGCTCAGCTGGTAGAGAGCTTGCCACAGAGAGGCATGGTGTTTCTGTCGCTGGTTCGAATCCAGCCGAAGCTCTGACTTTTCACATTTGGGTTTCATCTAAAATCACAAATTTTCCAGACTACTTATTAGTGGATAATTTTGACTGATTATTCAATATCTGTGTTGTACATCCTGCTGGTAGCTGTGGAGTGCTGATATCGAGTAACCAGTCACACTCAAAAGACATAACGTATCCCGTTCTCTACAGTGATCGGGGTTCCACACCTGCATAAGGAGTGTTCCAGACAATCGAAAAAGTTAGACTGGCAGTGCTGAATGGTCGCAAACTTGCGAAGGAGTATAATAATACATTGGAGCCTCGTTTATCGCCTTGAACCACCAGTATAAATCAATTGTTACCATAATTCAGTAGCACTGAACATAGGTTACACAAGAAGTACCTGGTAGTTGATAATGAGATGCCATGACTAGCATTATAGAATCAGCTATGATCTCCGATTATACACAGTTTACCAATGCTACTGTAAACCTCCTGATTGAGAACTAAAAATACGTAAGATTGAAGGCCTGTTCAAATTGGATTGTACGTGTACACGATAAATTAAGAAGTAACAAACACACAACGTACAACCAAGTAGAAGCTCTGCACAGAACTCAGCTGTGAGCAAATGACACCTTGCAAAGCTGTAGTGCAGGCAGTCAAATAGAGCGGTGCAAAAACAAACAACTTGGAATTCATCACTCCAGTGGGAAAGTCGTCGTGGGAGCATAAAGTTTACACTGAATACGTAGATACCGCTGCGTTTACAAAGCTAGTGTGGTGGTTAGCTTGTTGGCTTCCTGTCAAAAGATCGAGAGTTCGGGTCTTTGGATCACAGCTTTGTGGCGGAGTTGCTCATAAAACTTGCAGTGCTTCGAAATATTTTTCAATGCCCCCACTCAACATCAAAAAGCATGTTCAGTACAACTAACTACCGCGGAAAACGTTGCGGCTAACCTGGTTGTCAGGTTATTGAAGGAGACCCACCGCATGAACTCAGTATCCTCTTTGTGAACGTCTTAGAACAATACGCAAACAGTGTTTTCAGAAGTACATATACTAGTTGGACTGATCAGACTAGTAACAAATGATAACCCATTTCTAACAGACATGTTTCGTAGTTTCGTTTATCAGCGTGTAATGTACTAGCCGAATTTGGTCGGATTGACTCTTCTAAAACAGTACTACACACGAATCGTTTTAATTCTGTTCTGATTTGCTAACAGGTTTGCGATAAACTTCACTTGAGTCATGAAAAACTGTGAGCGATATAAAGCTTACTCTTGATAAAATTCTATCTTTATTAACTAGTAGCCCATATCATCGGGGTCTGCTATGAAATCGAAGAGATGATCGTTACTAGAAGCTATGCTGAGTCCTTTCTGTTGTCATGAGAATAAATTAAAGGATTGACGCTGATTCAGTTTAACAAAAAGGGCATTTTCCTACAATTATTCGGTTTTCTACTAACTGAACATGATCTCACTATTACGCGCAACGGGTGAATACAGAGATATCTACACATAAGTTATCGTAAGAGAAAAGTACTCCTGATAAAAGAAGTACTTTTCGATGTACTGTTGGCTAAACTTCTTTGATAGATACAGTACCTACCCAGTCACTAACAGGCGGACGTTTCGAACCCTCACGTATTGCACACTGATAGCATTCCGTAGAGCATGTTACAAAATCAAATGCTTTACCAGTGACAGAGTATACAGAAACTTCTTATAATGCTCAACTTTTGGTTATAAAGACTTGTTTCGTTGACTTGACAAACTGATAAAACTATCATATTTCTACAAGGTTGGGTAGCATGCTGATGTCCCGTGATCCTAAATGTCAGTTTATCTCTTTTGGTGGACGTAGCCTTTCTGTTAGTGTGAGTAGGAAGGGTGATTCTGTATGCGTTGTTGAGGTACACTGGTTTATCTGATGGTTGTAGATAAGTTTTAGTGTCTCAGATTGGACAAGATTTGGTACAGTGTACCCATCAATGACGATGGAGAATACAATAGAAAACCAGTGGAATTACCGTTTACTCACTACTGTTCGTATGGGGTTCTGACAGACAGTAACGTAGAATATTAAGTTAGGGGAACAAGTTAACAAGGTTGAATCTAACGCCCATGAAAATTAGAGAGCAAGAGAGAAGACAGGCGTAAACACTATGCACGGGTAAGGAAAGATGACTATCGTCTGACGTTATACACATAGAACAGTCTCCATAAATTGGATCCATATACCATCGAGACTCAGTTTGGAGAGTTGCACGTAATTTCTCTTAAGTATTTGTCCAAGTGGACTATCGTGAAACGGATAGTCTGGTGAAGAAGCATTTATGCCCGTGACACAAATCCAGTCACTTCGGACCCCGTTCACACTGTCTATATCTGACTAGTCTAAAAAGGAACATACCTGGTAACAAACTGTTACGCCTTGCCAACGGGACCAACTGTTTACAAAACTATCTTTTACTCGCTCAGAAACTGTGTTGGATGCATGCTCGACTGCAGGCGACAAACACATAACTAATCGATTTCGGCCTATATGAAAGTGGAACTGGACCGTTGATCTCATATTGGGCACGACTGAATTATCTTATCCGAACACTTAACCACTTTTGCTTGTGAATAGTGATCGGTGATGAACACTCATCCAAACTATTACTCAGCAAATTCAAATAAGTCGGATATTTCGATGTGATCCAGGCGTCCTAGTGATCGGGCTACTGAGTAGGATTAAAGTACAGTAGCTGTGTTTGTTTTCGAGGTAATCGGTTAACCTGAGCACTACTTAAAGGCTAACACGCCTGGACGGTTCTATATGACAAGTCGGTCATGCTTAGTTTGACCCACGTGATATACTGGACAAAGATGAGACCAACCAGTTAATCATTCTCACTAGCCGTCTGTTATGGTAGATTTGTGGGCTAACTTTCGGGCGATTTGTGGAATTTTTCTGTCCCTAAGGCTGTGTAATTCTTCAGAGAATTTCATTAACGGAGAGTGAAGTAATTATGTACAAGAAAGCTTTTGTGTTATGTCACGAAGTTGCAAGATGGCTGATTTGGAAGGCTTCCATGATATGCTTTCTAAGGCCCGTAACAAACTGACAATTAATTTTCAAGAAAAGTGAACGACGTAAACAAGCTCAACGGTATCCAGAAACTGTAGGGTTATTTGTTACACATTGGGTGTGGTTTGAATAACATTTGTTTATTTATATAACGAAAACTTGTTGTTTTGTTTTGCTTAACGAGTCAGCAGAGTGAGGTGGAGAACAATGAAAAGTTAATTTTCCTCAACTGCATTGAAAACTTAAACAAAGAATGTAGAAAGACAGAAATATAGAGTTAGTCAACAAACAAATACGAGGTCAGCATCATAGTTGCTCACACTTTGCCCCAGAAAAGGATGGCAAAACTATTCACCACAAATAATCCCTAACGACAACGAACATCGAATCTGGCCTTTACTTCTGATAGGGGGTGACTGAATGCGTATGATGTAGAGAAGACCGTGGTCAACTCTGGGTCACGTTCGGAGTGAAGTAACCCTATTCACCGATACTAGTCATTTTTACCAAGAGTAAAAAAACCGTTAAAATCAATTTGCTACCTTTTTTTCAACGATAACATGTAGATTGTTAAATTTCATTTTCAGTTAGTTCAGTCTATAGGTTTTCAGATATTTGTTGGGACTGAATTAAGCACTTATTCCACTTTGGTTTTTTGCTTACAAATATGCTATAGAATTACTACGTTCATAAGAGTTTGTTTTTTCCGAATTACCTTCAAGTTTCAAATGGAACAAATGAAATTATAAAACACATCAAACCTGAGCATTCTTGATGTCGATTTCTCACTGATCAGGGTAATTAGTATATATATATATAAACGAACACTTCAGGCTATGCTTTATGGGTTTTTGCATTTACATAAAACGTCTGAATTATATATGAAATCAGAACGAACTTTTGAATAATAAGTGGAAATGTAGAAATGGTTGCAATTTAACCCTAATTTTTTCTGTCAGTTTTTTGCTATAGAGAGCTACTCGCACTGACGATAGAATTCTTCAGCACCAGATATTTCGCTGTGGAGTTTACACTATACGGTTCTTACTTAACGTTCATGCGGGTAAAATCAGTCCATTCATCAGTCTTCACGTGCCAGTTTCTCCCAAGTCACTTAAATCAAACACAAATCATAACCCATTGTACATAATCTCATTTTCTGCTTTAATTTTCCTGTACAAATTAAAATCACGCGCATGAGATGCAAACAATTTGTTCAAATTGAATTAACGTCACAGAAAGCTCTCGGATGCATACACCTCGTTTACTCTGTGTTCGGATTTAGCGCAGCCGATTGGTTATTCCAAATTGGTCATTTGTTTCAGTCGGAGTTTAAAAGCCAACAATGGAAGTTGCGTACTAAAGGATGGCGTTTCGCGTTTGTACATACTAAACAATCCAGTGAGTAATCTATCCTTCTACCAACCTTTCAGCGTCAGTTTAGTGCACTGCGACCCAAACAGACACGATTCTCTTGGCTGGAACGTACGTTACTCTCAAGCCCCGAGTAATGACCTCATTATTCTCTGGTAGACTGAAATCCGTCCAACTGTTAGAACTTTTAATAGAGTGGCAATGGTATGCACTAATGACGAGTTCTAACAAGAGCGAAACTCAAATCTAGTGCTACCTCCGTTCGAAGGAAGCTGGCTGGGAAGTCTACGGGAATGCGACAGCTGCGATCAATTGTGGATGATGTTCAATCTACATGAAAACCAAAATCTCCTACTAGGCATCAGTAACTTTGAGTACTACAATTATTATGCGCATTCCCAATATATACCAATGACGTAACTGCAAAAGCCGGATGAAAACATGAAATTATTTGTTTAAGTTTACTTCCTATGGTTTCTACGGAAATGGGACTTTTATTCTGTATGATTTTATTAAGTCAAATGTAAGACCACGTTAATCACAAATGACCACCAGATTGTTCACTCGAGTTAAGATACCC